CTTTATGTATTTTTTAATGAATAAATATATATCCTTAATCTTAACAGAACATTATACACGTAAGGTGAGAAGTACCTTTTACTGAAGTAAAAGTGCCTTTTGTTTGATGTTGAAGCAAACACCAACAAAACTTATATTTCCACTTGAACTCATCAGTATTTTTACACTATATCAATATAATATGTAAATTATATACCAAAAAATTCTAATATTCTAGTTTTTGGCCATTTTTCCAAATAACATAAATGTTTTAAAAATTTGTAAATGCAAATCTTGGTATTTTCTGTATAATCATTTTATGCTAATACTTCTGTGTTATTAAACTCTTACCCGGGCATAAAAATAAATATCTTTACTGTGGCTGAGTTAATATAAGTTAATATGCCTAAAACTTATTCCTTGTAAAAAAGTAAACTCTCTTTAGGATTTTTCTAAGGACACCTTTGCCATTTCTCACATGTGTTTTCGCTTTATCGAATATCAATTTAATTCCATGAAATCTGCTTTGAAATGTAAACGAAGTGCTGATGTCGCACTGAATATGTAAACCACAATGACAACATCACAGAAATGTGGCAAAAGGGATATGTACATGATATTAGCTTATCTCGAGTTCGATTGTCTATCGATAAATTTATAACTAATGTGAGTTTAAAGTGCATAGCAAAACTGAGTTATGGAGATAATAAAATTGTAGAAAATTTATAAATTATATTTAATCAATTTTATTTAAATCAATTCAGTTTATTTATGCAAATCATTTCAACAAATCATAAGGAAAATTACATAAATTGAGATTAATTTTATTACCCAATCGTGGGTAATTGTATTCAATAGTATTTTATATTATACTAATAGAAGTGTGTTTGAAAACTAGGGATTTACAACAACAATATTTCAATTTTTTATTACGTGCATTTTTGGTCGAGCATATAGGCTGGAAAAATCGAAAGGAGTAACAGAAAACTTGATATGTCATTGCGCTAGTCATTTGTTTCAAATTGGACAGATTCAAAGTACAAAGCTTGGATTTTCTGGTCAAAAAATTACAGACTGATAAACCAACATTTATTTCTTAAAATCACTAATAACAATTATTTGGTAATAAATAAATTAACTACACCGTCAGCTAAAAAACTCAATTAATAAGTATAGAGGTTTCGAAGAGTAGTGAAGAACAACAACAACAAGTTTTAATTATCTTAATTAATTGAACTTTTGTCTGACTATATAGCAGTTACCTGTTACCTATATTCATTTAATTTAAACATTAAATAAATTTATTTTTATGACAGGACCGATGAACAGTTTTTTAAAGTTGGACTTAGTTTTTTAACTAATGTAATTTGTCTTTGAAAAAATTTAAAACCCCAGTATTTACTCTCCAGTTTGCGATTCAGATTCTGATTAAGAAGTTAAGAATAGCCCAAACGTTTCTTCGAAATACTTTCCTATAAAAAGTTTTTGTTTAGTAAGCACGACATTATCAGAATATCATGTATTTATCTTTTGTTCTGGAATAAAAGCTATTCTTTTTGTGAAATTTTAATTAAATAAAATTTTAAATGATTTTTAGGAACTAAAAAATCGCTCTAATTTCTTCTTCTAATTTCCATTTTAAAAACTATTTAGAAATTGAAATTAATTACAGTATCTATATATTCAACTTCACCGCAAGTTCAAAATAAAGGGAGTTACGCACAGCAATAACACTAAAATATTCAGTCCAACCCTGTATATCTATTTTCACTGATAGATTAAAATAGTTTCAAGAATTCAAAATTAATCGCATTCATCCTCACTTATGACCCTAAACCGTCTTAGGTTGTTTTCTAAAACATAACCAACAATAAGTTGCCCTTAATAACAGAACTACTCTTGCCCTACACTTCCATTTTTAATACCAAGTGAACTGAAGTTATGAAAGTTTTTAACTCACAAATCAAAATAATTTGGAACTTTGCACTATTGAAGTATAGTTCCATCAAGAACTAAAAAACTTATTAACTTGAGTAAAAGAGAAATCGACAACACTAATTCCTGCAAATAGGTCATTGATAAATGGACAAACATGCATAGAGACTTGGAGTTTAAACTAACTATCTTCGCCAATAAGAAGAATAACTAAGCTCTCTTATACTATGCGGGAGCCCAGCCTTAGCAGTGAGCAGGACCACAATTCGTGGTAAATCCTTTCATTGAAGAACAATTTAAAACTGTTTCTAGTAAAAAAAAATTAGGTAAAATTATACAGGTAGCTCTTTAATCAGAAATCCACGCATAAAAGAAACACCTTTAAAAACCAAGTATCTGAAAGAAGGGATATCGTAAAACCAAACCTCTAAAATAATACAATGGATCCATAGTAGGTTCACATTAAATCGGTAACAATAACCCTGAACCTAAACCTATCTCAAGCAGTTAAATAGAATAAATCCTTGCAAAATATAGGTAAAAATATCAAAAGTATAGAAAATATTATTATTACATTCCGTCAGCGTTATTCAAACTACCGAAAATATTTATGTAAATATTCTGTGAAGAGGCGTGTGAAAAAAAACTGATAATATGTTGAAGTATAAATTGATTTTCCAAAGGCAATAAATCGAGACAATCCGTGCGTGAAGAGTAACATGTGGAATTTATGCATGTGTAAAAAGGATTTGTCAATTTATTTTGTTTGTGTTAACTCGGCTGCAGACAAATGTTGCCAAAGGTAATGTTTCTGTTTTATTTTTATTAAATCATTTTAAGAAATTTTTTGTACATCAATATTTAATACACGTATTTGGAACAAAATGAAAGTTCTTATCAATTTTTTAAAGTTATAAAAAAATGATAAACATATAATAAACATATAATAAACATATTTACTTCTTCTTCATCGCTATTGTTAGAGTCATCGGAAGGAATATTAAAAATTTCAAATGGGTAATTTAAATATAGAGATGACGCGGATGTAATTTGTTTAATAAAAATGCTCTGTTAATAGAGCTGTAGGCTCTGTTAATAGAAATAATATTAATAAAACACCATTTTATTATGTACCATTTTCCAACGAAATTAAAATGCATATTATATTTTTAGTTATATCATATATTTAATTATATTATTTCTCTTATGTGAAGTTGTCAAAGTCTTGTTAAAATTTTACGGATATAAATTCTTGATAAATGAGCATTTTGTAAGCATAATTCTTCATGCGGAATCACAAAGAGATTGCAAAATTAAACCCTCAATTAATACAAAAGTATGTGGCAACTTTTTGAAATATGCACGATTTCATTGAATATTTTATCTCAAGTTTCTGACTTAATAAAATTACCTTCAATATAAATTCCTTAAATAATTCAAATTAACTTCCATAAAAGTTTTCAGTATTTATAGAAAACGTTCATGAAATTCTTTAATTTACAAAAATGACAACCTTAATATATAAGGCCAACATAATTATATAAATTATAGTATATAATAAAGTACGTAAAATATTTTTCAGTACTGAGGAATTCACATGATTAAATCAGATTATAAAACATTTATGGGAAAATATTAAAATATTTTTTAATATTAATAGTTATATATTAAGAGAAACGTTAGTTTCTTCCTAGCAGTTTAGCGGAAAATTTTTTTTTTTTTAAATAAGTACAAATTAAATTATAAACTATTTATATAATTGTTTGTTTAGGTTATTTTATATATAAAACAGAATATGTAATTAAAATCACTCTGATTTCTAGAAGTTTTCGAAAGGTCCTCTGGGTCATTGGTACATACATTTTGTGTTATTCGTCCTTATACCTATAAATTTTAGTAATTTTAGTAAAACTGATAATATTTTTGCATTCATTTCGATGCATCTCAACTATAACTTTGCCTTTTTTCGTATTTAACATCAGTATATCTAAATTTTCTTCAAGAAATTATTTAATTTGTCCCTCTTTTTCTCATATAAGCAAGCTGTGTCCAATCCATTACTTGATAATTTTTTTTCGTCTAGAACTTAAATAATATCATCTCCCTCGGCAGTATAATCTAGTAGAGGAAATTGTGGAATGGCTACTAGTATAGAAAATTTTGTGCTTAGAGAGAGTAACTTACCTCCTTCCAGTGTACAACCTACGATTTTTAGGATTTCTTCATAAACCACCGATTGTTCACTACGGCCACATAATAAATGGACGAATAAATTCACCATCTACTAGCGATGATGTTGCTAGCTTAAAAATTTATCTCCTTATAAACACCTTTTATGTACATAACTGAAATAGTTAAATAGGTAAAACGGCACATTATAATTCTTCAGTTCCTCAAGTTATTCTTAACTTTTATTTATTAAAAAGGATGTCCTTAATCTTTATACTATACATGACCACAAAACGTTGTCCTTCCACTCTCTGCTCCCATAAATTAGCTAACTTTGTATCATGGACAGAAAATTTGTGGAAAGCGAAACCCAGAAAGTTTGTCAGTTTAAAAATAAATGTAAAAGATTTAAGGACTTCCTTTTCGCTTTCTCGGTATTAATTCGGTTTTGCAGGATTTCCTCCAAGTTTAAATACTGGTTAATTTGCATTCAAGTTGTTTCCAAAATGAAGTAATGGTTGAAAGTAGCCATTTTATGGTTTAATTCATTTTTAAAAAGGCAACTGAAATTGCTACATAGTTTTATACAATTAATAGGTTTTAAAAAGTGTCTGTCTGAATACCATTGTGTAAAAATCGCAATGCAATACGTTTTGCTGAAAAGACACTTCTTATATAAAACGGTTTGTTCCTTTTAAATAAATTTGTGCTAAGTTCAAACCTCTATAAAAATTTTCAAATTTAAATCTTAAACTAAAGTAATAATATTACAACTGCAAATTATTCACTACTGCTTTTTTGTTTTACTGTGTTTTAATAAAAGCAGTTAAAAATTTTGATTAAGTATTCATTTTTTGTTATTTTTTATTTGAAAAACTATTCAAAGATTTCACGTCAAAATAACATACAATTATAATACATAAATTTCTAAAAATATAAATTTTTTGGAAGTTTGCAGGAACAAAATTCAAAATCTGAAATGGATCCCACAAATTTTAACGCTCTACTTATGTTCTGTTGTTTTGTTTTCACAACGCTTTTGGTAAGAGTAGAATATTTTCTGTACCACTGGGTTGGATCTCAGCAAAATAATACACCTGCAAGAAGACTTCATAGAAATTCATCTCGTCAAAGTCAACCCAATTCTTTAACAGCAGATATAGCTGAAGAAATGTTGTCACAGTACTTAGGTGAAAGCGCCTTAGAAAATGAGAGACTTTCTGTAGAAATACAAACAGAACAGTCTAATTTTAATTTAGATAGACTAAATGGATCTAATACTCAACATACATCTATATAAATTGGATGATTTGGTAACTCTACTATGGTTCTAGTCAAGTTGTATTATGAGTTCTCTTTGATATATACCAGTTTTAAGGAGCAAATCGTTAAAAAGATTTCTTTATAACTTGCAGGACCCAGGTAAGACACTATATAAAAAATTACAATAGTTTCAAATATTTTAATTACATGTAATTAATTAATTAATTTCTTGTGTTTTTAAATCACCTTTTATGAACTAAACGACAAATTATGTATTTGTTGTTTGGACAAATACCAAATACATAACTTCATTTATTCGAATCTGAAATATTTTCATTACCTAGTCGAATAATTATTTTATTAAGTGCTCTTGAAGTTTTTCTTTTGACTAAGATTCTAATTAAATCTTCCTGAAATAGCTTCATAATTTTAATACATGTTTTTTTAGGGGTTACTGGAACTACTCAGTGATGAGGAATGAACGTGAGGCTGCTAGAATTAATCAGTAATTTAAAAACAACATTCGTTATCGGAAGTAATGTAAATTCCTCAATATCATATATTTTCTTTGGTCATTATAGAACTGGGTCTGGAAAGTAAGATTTGGATTTTTTCATTATTTCATATGAAAAATTTTTAAATTTTTTAATTCTTTTAACTATAAATTGCATATGCACTTATATAAACATAAGTATAAGTACATATCATACACTATGTTTTCTCAATTCGGTTGAAAATTCATCTTCTTCTAATCGATTTACTTTTTAGACTTGAACTGAATCATATTTTGTAGTACCCATTTGCATATAATTTAACAACATAGATAGTAGATAGCAATAACACATAGTGGTAAATACAATGCTATATATTTTCATTTTCCAATAATTAAAAAAAAAAATAATATTTTATAACCAGGTGATGCTAACGATTATGATACCAAACGTGTCGAAGGACCTGATTATTTTTCGATGTGCGGCTAAGCAACAGACTAAGAAGAGTTTCCATCTTGTTAAAAATTTTGTGGATCCATAACATAGAAAACTTCGTATTAACAATATTAAACTTAATAACTTTCGGCAATAAACATATTCTGCATAATTTCTACAAATTGTTTTAATATATGAAAATTGATATTCGATTCCAAAAGCGAAAATTACTAGGTACTAGGGCCGCCTTTGTGTAAATACTGTGAAATACTGACTATAAAATAATATTTTGAGCTCCCATAACATCAAAACACCCTGATGTAGCAAATACTACACATTTACGTGATTTAGTTAAAATTATCAGTCGATATTAGACTGAAGACATAAAGCTATTATCATATGCAAAATTTACAACTCGAAGTGCTATAATATACATAATGACTCAATTGAACTTAAATTTTTTAGAAAACTTTTGAATTTCAATTATTTTATTTTATGATTATGATTATAAAACCACAAAAAAATATATTGGAACCGTATGCGGAACCGTCGATCCGTATGCGTCACCAAATTAAACTTCATCCACTAATAACGAAAGTCTTGTCCCATCAAGACTTGTGGTCATACTGCACTCACAATAATATGTAAAACTTTGGGTCTCACCCATTTTAGGTCAGCATACTCTAGATGGTGGTAAGAAGTTCTATTGG